CGAATCAGTAATAAATAACCTTCTGACAAAGAAAAGCCCAGGTCCTGATGACTTCACTTTCAAATTCTACAAAACTTTTAAGGAAGAGTTAATCCCCATTCTACTCAAATCATTTCTAAGGATCCAAAAGAAAGGAAACCTCCCAAATTCATTTTATGAAGCCTCCATCATCCTCATTCCTAAAACAGATAAAGACATGACAAAAAAGGAAAACTGCAGACCAATATCTCTGATGAATATAGATGTAAAAGTTCTCAACAAGATACTTGCAAATCATATCCAACAAAATATAAAAAAGATTCAACACAACCAGGTAGGCTTTATTCCAGGGATTCAATGGTGGTTCAACATATGCAAGACCATAAATAAAATACACCATATTAAAGGAAATAAAGATAGAAACCATATAATCATTTCAATTTATGTAGGGAGAACATTTAATAAAATACAATATCCCTTCATGATTAAGACTCTCAGCAAGATTGATATAGAAGGGTAATTTCTCAACACAATAAAAGCCATATATGAAAAACCTATAGCTAACATTATACTGAATGGGGAAAAGCTAAAAGCTTTTCCACTAAAAACTGGTACTAAACAAGACTTCCCAATTTATCCACTGCTTTTTTTTTAATGATCAGTTATTTAATTAGGTTCTTGGAAAAAATTTAGAACACCAATCAGTGAGGATAAACTCCATTGGAAAGGGCAAACACGGATCACAGGTAACCCTGGAGCTGAGGAACAGCTTTGATTTTTGGTAAAATTTACGAGTCCACAGCTTTCTGATTGACCTTGTGCTGCTCTGAAATCTCGTATTTCTCCTTCTCTGTGTCAAAGACCTAACCTTCCTGGTGCTGTGTTTCTACAGTTTTTTTTTTTTTTTTTTTTTTAGGAAGTAAGCATCAGTAAGATGCTTTGGGATTTTTACTTTGCTAGTATCAATTTTCATGGAGGTAGCAACGACAAATTTCTGGTGTGTTCTACACAGTGGAACTTGATTGAGAAACACTGGTCCAATTACAAGTAGAAAGTCACTGCTAAGCTTCTTCAGGAAAACTCTTTCTTCTGTAGCGTCCAATAGGCTGATCAGAATGGTCCCAGGAGTGATGCTAGCTCACAGCTTTCTCATATGCTGGCTGAAGGTTTTTTTTTTTTGCTGTGGTTCAACAGTTTTCAAGGTACATTTTCAGTAGGACAATACGTAGGCATTTTGCTCAGTTTAACCACCCAGGTACCACCCTTTTTGTCTCCACCAACTGGTTTTGTAATAGTCACAAGTACCTTCTTTTTTGTTTCAATCCTGGATTTAGTGGCCGAGTATTTCCTCTTGTACCTGGCCTTCCTGGAATACATGGCAGACTGGGAGTAACTGCCGATGCCCTGGAGTAGGACCAGGTTTCGGCTGCAATGTGGCTTCCATTTCTTGGACTTTTTAGCCTTGGGTCACCCTTTTTAATCTTGCCACTAGCATCAGCCTTCTTGGCTTCAGGCTTCTTCTTAGTATCCTGCTTTGCAGCTTTTTCACCTAACATCTTGTATAATGGGAAAGTAAACTAAACTCCCCGTTTCCTGTCTCTCCACTGCTTTTTAACATAGTGTTGGAAGTCTTAGCTAATGCAATCAGAAAACAGAATAATATAAAAGGCATTCAAATAGCCAAAGAAAAGTTGAAAATATCTTTATTTGCAGATGACATGATGGTGTACTTAAAAGACTCAAAGGTTTACATGAAAAAACTTCTCAAAGTAATAAATGAATACAGTAAAGTGACAGGATAAAAAAATCAACATCCAAAAATCTGTAACATTTCTATATATAAACAAGTTGAAAGTAGATCTGGAGAAAGGAAAACCTTTTACAATAGCCACAAAATGTATAAGATACCTAGAAATAAGCCTAAGTAAGGAAGCCAAAGACCTTTACAAAGAAAACTATGAAAACCTTAAAAAAGATTTTGAAAATGACACATAAAAGTAGAAGGACATCCCATATTCCTGATTGGAAGAACTAATATAGTCAAAATGGCAATTCTACCCAAATTAATCTACATTTTTAAGGCAATTCCAATAAAATTATGAGACAGTCTTCACAGATCTAGAAAAGACAATCATAGAATTTGTCTGGAATGAAAAAGACCTCATGTTGTCAAAGTAATCCTGCGCCAAGAAGAGTGGAGTGGACAGCATATCACTCCCTGACCCCAAAATACCCTATAAAGCTGTGATAATTAAAATAGCATGGTATTGGCACAAAAACAGATGGGTGAACTAATGGAATAGAATAGAGACCCCAGAAATAAACCCCAAAGCTTACAACCAACTGATTTTTGACAAAGGATACCAGTCAATCCATTGGGAAAAGGAAAACCTCTCTAGCAAGTGGTGCTGGAATAATTGGTTGTCCACCCACAGAAAGATGAAACTGAACCCTCATGTTTCACCATTAACAAAAATCAACTCATAATGGATCTAATATCTGAACCTAAGACCTCAAACTATAAAACTACTGGTGGAAAACTCTGGGGAAACACTGGGAGATATTGGGGTAGGTAAAGACTTCATAAATAAGACTACCAAAGCATGTGCAATAGTCCCTAAAATAGGCAAGTGGGACTATATCAGACAAAGAAGTTTCTGCACAACAAAAGACACAGTAACAAGTGTGAACCGACAACCCTCAGAATGGGAAAATATTTTTGTTAAATATGCCTCAGACAAGGGACTGATAACCAGAATACATAGGGAACTCAAGTGCCTTATGTGAAAAAAAAAAATGATTAACCCAACTAAAAGATGGGAAAATGAGCTGAACAAAAATCTCTCTAAGGAAGACATACAAACAGCCAAAAAGCATATGAGGAAATGCTCGACATCCCTCATCATAAGGGAAATGCAGATAAAAACCACAATGAGATACCACCTAACCCCTGTCAGAATGGCAAAGATTAAGAATATAAAAAGTGATAAGTGTTGGCGGGGATGTGGTGAAAAGGGAACCCTCCTACACTGTTGGTGGGAATGTAAACTAGTTCAACCACTGTGGAGAACAATATGGAGGTTCCTCAAAGATCTACAAATAGAACTACCATTTGATCCAGCAATCCCACTTCTGGGTATTTACCCAAAAGACAGGAGAACGCTCAGTCAGAAAAGTGCTTGCACATCCATGTTTATTGCAGCATTATTCACAATTGCCAAGACATGGAACCAACCTAAATGTCCACAAACTGATGAATGGATTGGAAAAGTGTGGTATATATACTCTATGGAATACTACTCAGCCATAAAAAATAACAAGACCCTGGAATTTGATAGAAAATGGTCAGATATGGAGGATCTATTGCTGAGTGAAGTAAGCCAGGCTATGAAAGAAAGATATTGTATGTATCCACTCAATATATACCGACTATCCGCACTCTATAATAGAGAGCAAAAATTCGGAGGACATAAACACAGTGAAGGTACTTAATGAGAATAGGACAGTGTGGAATGGGGTAAGTGAAGAGAAGAGGATAGAGAAAGATAGCAAGTGAACAATAGAGAGACAGGACGTTAGTGAGAAACAGATAGGGGTTATTAACTGTTGATGATGACATGTATAGTATTCTCAACTGGATTGGTCTGAGAAGTATTTCATGATGGGCAAAGTATTTTTACAAGCAAAACGAGAAATAACAATTGACTGTTTTATAAAAATAATTAGAATAATAAAAATAATGATTGGGGAAAACAGAAAAGATATTGAATGTTGAAGTGGGGAGATTAATGTCTCTGTACTGACTGACATGCATGGCATTCCCTTTTGAAAAAACAATGTAATACAATGTAAAGTTATATGTAATCCAATGTAATATAAAGAAGATTATGATGATAAAAAATGAACTGAACAAAAATCTAAGGAAGACATATGAACAGCCGAAAAGCATGAGGAAATGCTCAACATCCCTCATCTTAAGGGAAATCCAGATTAAAACCACAATGAGATAGCACCTAACCCCTGTCATAATTGTGAAGATTAAAAATACAAAAAGGGGTCATTGTTGGTAGGTTGTGGTGAAAGGGGAACTCTCCTACACTGTTGGTAGGAATGTAAATTGGTCCAGCCACTGTGGAAAACAATATCGATGTTCCTCAAATATCTACAAATAGAACTACCATTTGATCCACCAGTCCCACTTCTGGGTACCTACCCAAAGGACAGGAGAATGCTTAGTCAGAAAAACACTTACACATCAATGTCTATTGGGGCATTATTCACGATCACTAAGACATGGAACCAACTCTAATATCTACAAACAGATGAATGGATTGAAAGAGTGTGGCACATATACTTTGTGGAATACTATTCAGCCATTAAAGAAAAAGACCCTGGCATTTGAAAGAAAGTGGTTGAATATGGAAGATTTATTGCTCAATGAAGCAAGCCAGGCTATGAAAGAAAGATATTGTATGTATCCACTTAATATATACCAACTATCTGCACTCTATGGTAGAGATTGAAATATAGAGGGCATAAAAGCAGTGAAAATAGTTACAGATGCTGAATTCAGAATGGAACAGGCATGGAGAAAAGGGAAGACTGTAGAGAAAGCAAGTAGGAGAAAAAATAGAGGTATGACATTTGTGGGACACAGAAATGGTTTATTACCTGTTGATGATATCTTACAGGCATAATATTCTCAACTGGACTGGTCTGAGAAGTATTTCACGTTAGGTAAATTCTCTTTACAAGCCAAATGATGTATAGTGATTGAATGTTTTAAAAATATGAGAATAAATAATAATCTGAAAAAAATGAAAAGTTATTTGATGATGATATGTGGATAGTAATGCCTTTGTCTTGGCTGATATGCATGGTAATCATGCTGGAAAATGAAATGTTATATGCTGTAAAAATATATGTAATTAAATGTAATATAAAATTATTGAAAGAAATAGAGACATTTCCCTTCATCTGTCAGCATAGTCTCTCTTGTCTCTGCTTCTCAGGCTCCTCTCTTTCTCCTCCGCAATAGCTCCTATTTACAAATGACTGGACCTCCCTATCAGCCCCTAGTCCTCTTGCATCTACTGACTGCAATGGACCCTTCTTGATGTAAGACATGACTCAGTCATTGCCACACGGGGTTTTGTTCCCTTCATGCTTTTCACAGCATCTGAATCCAATGCAGCATGGTGATAAATGCTTGTCCTGTGAGAGAGAAAAGACCAAGAAGCAGAGTCATATTCATCACTACTAGGAAATAGCTGGAGAGAGACAAACTACTTTCAAAACTCATCCTCTCCTTCAACAAGAGTAAATGGCAAGAAGGAAAGGAAATACGTGTGTGGGTTAATGGTCACTAAATATGCAGTCCTTTGCATATTTCACTCTCTCTCAATTTCTCCCTGCCTAAGTTGACCCATTCCTAGAGAATATCAAAGATAGAACATGTAACCTGTAACTGCTTCCTAGTGTCTGGCACACAGATAATTAAAATAAGTGTATATTTATGAAAAGTGGACAAACAAATGAAAGAAAAGCCCAGGGCTTCTCTACCATCATTGTGTAGGATGTCTGCAGAAGCCTAATGCACCATTTGGAAAACTCCAAAGTATGAGGTAGACATATCATGAGGCAATGCTCATCCAATAGCAGACACTGTTTAAAAAAAAAAAAAAAAAAAAAAAAACAAAAAAAAACAGTGCTGCATTCCTCACAGCTCCTTAGAGGATCTGAGAGGAATCCAGTATCCATTGCCACAGTAGTGAGCAGTTTGATAGCCAACTTTAACAGGTGTTCCTCCTCTTCTCTTGTTCTGTTAGTACCTCACTCCTGTTCCTGGAGAATACTTCCCCAGATTAACTAGCATGGAAACCACTGTCCCAGGTTCTGTTTTCATTTGATGTTGGGTTTTGGGGGGATTCTTTTCAGAGGGACCATATATAAGACATCTAACAATTATTTGGTTAAATTTACTTCTCTCTGTATATACTTTTTCTAGATATTTCATTAATTTTCAAAAATTTGTCACCATTTATACTCTGATTATTTCCAAATCTATAGCTTAGCAAAGACCTCTCTGCTGAGTCTTACACATGTCAACTTCAGTTTTAAATACTTGACTTCCGTGTGGCAAGTGAATATTCCATCCCACTACTCACTACCTCCGTTCTGCTACAAATCTCTACGCAAGGTGTTATCATACAGCTTATTTAAATTTTAGAATGCAGACATTTGAATCTTCATTCTCCAGGTCTGTTGGCAGTATCATTCCAACAGGGATCTCAAGCTAGAGAGAGAACTAGGCTGCAATTTTATTATGATAAAAGACTCCAGTACTAGGTACTCACTGTAGAGACAGAGAAATAGAGAGATACAGAAAACCACAATCCCTTCTCTTCCATTCTCCACTTGGGATTTTAGACATGCACACACACATGTGAATTTTAAACCACTGGGTCTCAAACCACAGTTGACTACATGGGAGTCCAGCAACATAAACATTACACCATCTGCTGGTCCCTACTAGCTGAAATTCTTACCCTTGAGCTCCCTGGGATGCCCTCAGATTCTACCAATACTGTTTGTTTCCATTCTTCGTGATCAGAGGTGAATACAAAAGAGTCTGCTAAATCCTAGTTGACTACATTATTTCAAACTGCCACATAGCAGTTATTTACTTGACACTCAAACAAAACCTTTCAATAGAAAACTTCATAAGGTGCTAATTATGGGTAGATGTTTATTATTTTGTGTATAGTACGATATTCATCCACCTTGTGGCTTCTAAAAGTATCCACTGCATGAATAGCATGTGGGCAAATACTAATCTTCTAGTGATAATGATGGATGTATAATAACACTTCCTATGTACTACATAGAAATGTACAAGATATACAACTCATATAAATTTTATCAATTAAAAAAAATTTTAATCATCAAAGAGTACATGTACTTCTCAGAGCAAGAAACAGACACAGAGAAAAAGTTCCCCAGTAGGGTGAGGTCATTCCGCAATCCTTTTTCCTATATTTTTCCTTCCCATCAGGATTTGGGGCATACATGTACACATGCCCAGTGTGTTTATCACACCACCAGGCCAGGATTTGAACCTCAACTCCCAATGCATAGTGTTTAATTACTGTGCTACAGGTCATGCTTTCAAACTATTTTATAAAAATCTTAATAATGGTAGAATTTAATTCTTTGAGTAGACATTTTTATCTACTTGGAATATTTATCTTTAGGATTAGTTACATGTATGCTACCATATGTAACTAATTTTCAATATGAAAATATCAATAACATGTTCGGCTACACACTTTTTTATAATACCTTTAGACAGCTTTCAACTTGGGTTGTTTTAGCTAAAATGCAGCTTCAGTCATTTTAATAAGGTAAAAGCAACTTGCCATTAGAGTAGTCACTATTCCTAATTTGTCATAATTTGGATAATTAGGAACATATTAACATTTTAGAAGAAAAATCTATTTTAAGCAAGTTAGTAGCAAAACTAACACATAAATATGCTAGCTGCAAAGGACTCCTACTTGTTCATTAGGTGAATTACTGATGTATTATTGTATGCACTAACCCTAAGTTAGCATTTATGGAATTTGATAACAACAAAATTGGTCTACATTTAAAGTGCTATGACCAACACTTTATATAATAATCATAGTAGTATTAATGGAGGGCAAATATTTTTAGTACTTAATGTTTTACACAGTACATCATTTGATCCTTGAAACCAGTCCACAAGGAATGTTTATCATTATCCCTATTTCATGGATGAAAAAATTGAAACTAAGGGAGGATAAGGAACTTGCCAATATCTCTCAATAACAAATACAAAACACTTTGACTCAACAATTCCACTTCTGGAGTTTTTTCTTTTTTGTTTGTTTTTGTATCAACATATTTGCAAACATATAAAATTACTTATATGCAAAGCCACTGACCTCAGCACTATTTATAATAAGAAAGACTGAAACAGTATTGTGTCCATTAACAGGTTAAGTAAATGATAATACATCCATATAGAAACACTATACAGCTAGAAAAAAATAAAATCAATAAAAGAGCCTCCAATGGTCAAATAGATAAAGGTCTTCAAGATCATTTTAAGTGAAAAAGGAAAGTACAGTATGATATATATAAAATGCCACCTTTTATGTAACATATAAGTCTCTATGTTTTGTCTTGAATTTCTTAAGGTAAGTCTGAAATACATAGAACCAAGGATACTGGTTACCTATTGGTGCAAGTCACGGGGAGGGTTGGCAGGGGTAATTGAGCAGGCATAGAACAAGGTCAAAAACAAAACATTTCACTGTCTGAAATTTTATAATGGATGAGTATACTGCCTGTGCAAATTTTCATTAAAAAGAAAGGAAAGCAGG